GATATAAGCTAAAGCAAACACCTGTCACACTATATGTTATGCTGGGATCATTTTCTCTTATGCTCTGGTGGCAAGAGTCTGATGAGATGACTTCTCTATAGCAATACTGTAGATAGTGTAAAATGGCATACCCTTTCTGAAAAACAATCTGGCAATATCAATGAAGAGTTCTAAAAATGTTTATGCTCTTTCAGCCAGTAACCGCATTTTTAACAATCTATTTGAAGGAAATCAGAAATGAAGGTAACTATTTATATACCTAAGAGTCCAAGATTTGATTTTTTTATCAAAGCATTACAATGTATAATAAGGAAATGTTAAATAATAATATATTCACACATTGGAATATATGCAGACCATCCAGGTTGGTGATTTAGAAGAATATTTTGATGTGAAACAATTTTTATAATATAATGCTATTCGGGGAAAAAAGGATTCCATATTGTCCATCTAGCTAGTCTCAGATACGTGTATGTATATGTATAAAAATATATGCATACAAAATTGGAAAGAAATACAAGACTAATAGTAGTTATTTCTGGGTAATGGTACTATGATCGAATGTTAGTAACTTTTTCATGTTTTCTATATACCCCTAATTTTCTACAGTGACATTATATTTTTGTATTGAGGGGGGGAAAGCAAATTTAAAACAAAAGACATTCATCAATAGATGAATAGATAAAATGTGATATTATCCATACAATGGAAAATTATGCAACTATAAAGGGAGTGAAGTTCTATATATGCTACAACATGAATGAACCTTGAAAACATTATGCAAGCAGATATGAAAGGACGAATCTTGTGATTCTACTTATATGACATATCCACAACAGTCAAATCACAGAAACAGAAAGTAGGTCAGAGGTTATCAGGGGCTGAGGGAGAAGAAAACAGGGAATTATTGCTTAATGGGTACAGAGTTTCTGTTTGGAATAATGAAAAACTTTGGAAACAGATAAAGGTGGTAGTTGCACAACATTGTAATTACAATTAAAGCCAATGAGTTGTACACTTAAAATGATTTAAATGGCAAAATTTTATATTATATTATATACAGGGTAGGGCAAAAGTAGGTTTACAGATAATTTGTATGGAAAATAATACAATGATTAATAAATAAGAATAAATTCTGTGTGTGACATACTCACCGTATAAACCTACTTTTGCTCAACCGTGTGTGTGTGTGTGTGTGTGTGTGTGTGTGTATCACAATAAAATATAGCAAAAGTGGGAAATTAAAAGTTAAAGTATGGCTGCTATGGAATGATAAGGTAAATGGGCATGGTACTTCCCTTTTACTCTCCTATATTCAGAGCTGCCCGCCCATTGGCACCTGAGGCTCTAATTGGAGGAAGAAGAAATTGTGGAAAGGGTTAACCAATAACTTTAAAAATGGGCAACTTGGTTAACAATCATTATAAGCCACAATATGAGGTTGTAATAATAAATGTATTGTAGCAAAGCAATTTAAGCTAAGGGCAGCAGAAGTACAAAGAAAGTGTTGATTTCTAGAAGATAGGGAAGGGTTCATAGAGGCAGAATTATAGCCTAGAAGCTGAATGTAACAGTAAAACTCTATGAAGCAACTAGGCCATCTGAAGCAGAAATTCAGATTTTTGGTGACATTGTTCATCAAACAATTTTGATAAAATAAATTGTTTCTGAGAAATGGAACCACTGCTATGTTGATAGATTAATGTTATCAGGGGAAGAAAAGTGACAGCACAGTCACTATATCCAACTAGGTTACCAAATAAGAAGCACATCCACATATCTTCAAATGTCACAGAACTTAAAACACTTCCAGAAATTTAGTTCTGGGTTACACTCTTGGAATTCACCTAGGAATGCCTTCCTAAAACCTGGCTTTGTATGAAAATAGTCTCTGACACTCCCCTGCCCTTTACTCTTTGACAGCTTTGGATTTCTCTATCTTTGGTAACATGTAAAAGAAATCTATATATGGCCGAAGCCGGTTTGGCTCAGTGGATGGAGCGTCGGCCTGCGGACTGAGGGGTCCCGGGTTCGATTCCGGTCAAGGGCATGTGCCTGGGTTGCGGGCACGTCCCCAGTGGGAGATGTGCAGGAGGCGGCTGGTTGATGTTTCTCTCTCATCGATGTTTCTAGCTTTCTATCTCTTTCCCTTCCTCTCTGTGAAAAATCAATAAAATATATTTAGAAAAAAAAAAAAAAAGAAATCTATATATGATTATAATTATTAAACCAAATCAACAAGCTAATGCATGCATAAAAGACCAGAGAAGCTTGTCTCAATCCAAATAGTCATTCAGTTTTTAAAGTTTCTCAAGAGGACTTAAATTATGCTTTGGGAAGGGAGAAAAATCACCGATACTGACAGCTTAGGAAGTAAGGTTAGAACTTTACTTGGTAAAAGTGCAACTAGTATGTGAGTGTTGGAAGACAGCATGCAAGCACGTGAACACAAATGGTGCATGTGAGAGTGTGTACATACCTATTATGTACCATTAATTTTGTGCGTGATATTCTGGAGCTATGACTCTTTAAGAAGTTAGAATTGTACTGGCAATACCAACAATTCAGTTTAATAAATACTATAATAAAAGTCAAAACAGGACATTACAGGAAAGACATCTAACCCTTCTTTGCATAAGTATGTATATGTGCTACCAGGAAAGTTTCTGAGAGGAAGTAAACACCTGCATTAAGACCTGAGAAAGAAGAAATCAAAACAACAATGAGGTACCATCTCACACCTGTCAGAATGGCTATCATCAACAAATCAACAAACAAGTGCTGGAGAGGATGCGGAGAAAAAGGAACACTCGTGCACTGCTGGTGGGAATGCAGACTGGTGCAGCCACTATGGAAGACAGTATGGAGCTTCCTCAAAAAGTTAAAAATGGAACTCCCATTTGACCCAGTGATCCCACTTCTAGGAATATATCCCAAGAAACCAGAAACACCAATCAGAAAGGATATATGCATCCCTATGTTCATAGCAGCACATTTTACCATAGCTAAGATTTGGAAACAGCCTAAGTGCCCATCAGCAGATGAGTGGATTAAAAAACTGTGGTACATCTACACAATGGAATACTATGCTGCTGTAAAAAAGAAGGAATTCTTACCATTTGCAACAGCATGAATGGAACTGGAGAGCATTATGCTAAGTGAAATAAGCCAGTCAATGAAAGAAAAATACCACATGATCTCATTCATTTATGGATAATAAAGACCATTATAAACTGATGAACAAAAATAGATACAGAGGCCCTAGCCAGTTTGGCTCAGTGGATAGAGCGTTGGCCTGTGGACTGAAGGGTCCCAGGTTTGATTCCGGCCAAGGGCACATACCTGGGTTGCGGGCTCGATCCCTAGTAGGGATGTGCAGGAGGCAACTGATCAATGATTCTCTCTCATCATTGATGTTTCTATCTCTCTCTCCTTCCTTCCTCTTTGAAATCAATCAAGAAATATATTAAAACAAAAATAGATACAGAGGCAGAGCAGCATCAAACAGACTGTCAAACTACAGTGGGAAGGCCGAGAGAGTTGGGGGGAGGGGGTAGGAGATCAACCGAAGGACTTGTATGCATGCATATAAGCATAACCAATGGACATAAGACACTGGGGGGTAGCGGAGGCCGGGGGAAGGTCAAAGGGGGGGAAAAAAAGGAGACATATGTAATACTCTTTGTAATACTTTAAGCAATAAAACAAAATTAAAAAAAAAAAGCTACATGAGAATAAAATGAATTTGGAAAAAATTAAAAAAAAAAAAGAGACCTGAGAAAGAAGAAATAGCAATGTCCTTGGAAACAATGAAGGGGATTTCTTTTATCTATAACTAGAGGCCGGTGCATGACTTCGTGCACTGGGCGCAAGGAGGGGTCCCTCAGCCCGGCCTGCGCCCTCTCACAGTCCAGGACCCCTTGGGGGATGTCCAACTGCTGGCTTAGGCTCAGGGAGCGGGCCTAAGCTGGCAGTCGGACATCCCCTGAGGGTTCCTTAGCGCCGCTGCGGAGGCAGGAGAGGCTCCCACCACTGCCGCTGTGCTTGCCAGCCATGAGCCCGGCTTCTGGCTGAGTGGCGCTCCCCCTGTGGGAGTGCACTGACCACCAGGGGGCAGCTCCTATGTTGACCATCTGCCCCCTGGTGGTCAGTGCGCATCAGAGCAACTGGTTGTTCTGCTGTGTGGTGATTTGCATATTAGGGTTTTATTATATAGGATGATGAAAATAATGAATTCTGCATGGGCGGTGCTCAATAATACAGGATATATGGCAGGTACTTCCCTTTCTTTGGTAAGTGGTACCACACATAGTAATGACATGATTAAATCTAACTTATGGCAGTGAAAATTTATACATTGGTTATTGTCAGAAATGGAATCATTAGGTAGAAGTGGATTTAGATGGTTACATTACAAGTAATTGATGTTATGATAATTTTTTTAGTGTCTTTTGAAAGAAACAATCTCTGGTTTTCTATTTGAGAGTAGTATCATCAAAATATAATAAAATGATTTAAATATATTTAACCAATAATTTTTGAAAGAGGACTAGTAAAATAGCTAATCTATGAAAAGCTACTGCTAGAGCTTCTTGGCTAAGGTAATAATTAGAGAGACTTATATAGCAGAATAGTGCTCTTATGGAAAAAAAAAGCCCATCGTATTTGAAGAAATCTTGAGGTTTCTTTATTTCTATATTATTAGAAAAAAATCTTATTTTACCTTAAAATTCAAGAGCATCTCCATAATTTTGTCATATATGCAAATACTTTCAGTCTGAAAAGTATGATGAATTCATTAACTATCTACTAAAATCATTTTTTGGACGAGCATCCAATTTTATACAATAAGTAAATTCAACAGCTACAGTCCTTCAAAGATATCTGAGTGACAATATCAGATTCTCCTAAGGTGATATTTTATATTTGAAAAGTGTGGCTAATTATTTGTGAATGTACTATTTGTCCACATAATTTAATAATTTACAAAGTGATCGTACCTCTTCAATACCAGCTATATTATTGACAGCCAGTTTTTTTAGAGAACTCTGAAGTTTTTTGTCATCAGCTGTAGCTGTTCTATGTACCACCTTCTTCTTTCTGCGAGCTGTACCCTGAAAAATAACCAAACAGAAGGGTTAGCATGCCTTGCATCTGGCAACTGCAATCACATGTCTTCCTATCCACAGTACTCTGAAACCCACATCAGAAATTGCTGACTTAACAGTAATGATTAGTAATGCTCAGAATTGTGTTTGTCAGCCTAATCCTGATTTTTGAAGGTCAGTTCTAGCAAATTCTTATTCTTTCCAATATTCAGCCTTTATCATTTCAACATTGTTTTCTAACAAAAGTTTTCTAATAAAAAATAACTTATAACTTCAAGACAATTTAGTGTGCTTTATAACTACTTTTTTTACAGTACCTATCATACCCTGACAATAAAGTCTAAAAATAGTCTGAATCTTTGGAGGTTATGACATAATTAAGAATCAAATGCCTACTATGTGAGTGTTCTAGAGTCCTAGAATCCAGGAGTGAAAAACATCAGGTTCTTACCTTAAGGATTATATATTGCAGTGGAAAGGTAATAAATATTTATTTATTAAAGTAAATAGATATATAAACAAATTAGATCATTTCAAAGGGGATAAGGGTATTGAGAAAACACAGTGATAAGAGTATTGTGTGGGAGCTAAGCACTATTTTATTAGAATGCTAAGGGAAAGCCTCTTTGAAAAGGTGACATATGAGCTGAGGCCCATGGGAAGATCTAGGGGAAGACTGATCCAAGCAGAATGAAACAAGAGTGAAGCTGTTGTGTCCGAAGAGAGAAAACAGGCCAGTACTGGCTAGGGCAGAGTGAACAACAGGAAAGGAGGAAGAAAATGAAATCAGAAAGATAGGTAAGGACAGGGCCAAGTAGCCTAGAATGCTACAGGAAGGAGTTAGATTTTATTCCAATTGCAATAGAAAGCCACTGAAAGGTTTTAATCATGGAAATGACTTGATCTGATTGACAATTTTAAAAGATGACTGAGGTTGCTATGGAAAATGAACGATAATGAGATTAATCAGGAAGCTACTATTGCAGTCCTGGTAAGAGCTGAGGAATGTGGCAGTGGAGATGGCGAGAACTCAGACTGTCAGAAGAACCAACAGGACTTGCTGATGGCTTGGATGTCAGATATGAGGAAAAAAGGAATCTAGAATGATGCTTTGAAGTTTGGCCTAAGCAAATAGGCTGAAAATTATACTATTTACTAAGATAGGAAAAGCTCATTTCTAAACCGATACTTTGAAGTTCTAAATATATTTTTCCACTGAAAAACAACAGAAAATAATGGGTAAAATTCCTGGGCCAATTTATAAAAATGAAACTGAAAGCAGAGCCAAAATACTAACAAAGCAGCCCAAGTCCTGAGGGCTAAACCTTCTGAGACCTGGCAGGAGCGAGGGGGAAAGGAATGGAGGTTTCAATCTCTGAGTAGCTCCTAGAGTAGTACTCAGCCTTATTGAGGGTGGGCAGGGGCTTCAGTTTCAACAACTCCAGTGGGAGTGGAAGAGAGCTCTGTGAGTAGCAGCAGAGATTGTAATAAAATCCAGCTGCTGAAGGATGGACCATGAGTTACTACATAGATGGTCATTTATTTGTGAAACATGTCTGACTCAGGGATAGCTTAATTGCTTGCTGGATACCTCAACTCAAATGATACTCAGACACCTCAAATTCAACATGTCTAAAAGCTTATTAGTCCATCAAACAATTCTTCTTATATTTCCTACGTTTTGTAGCTGGTTGTACCACCATGTATCCAGTCTCTAAAGCCAGAAATCTGGAGCTTATCCCAGACTCGTCTCTCTCCTCTTCATCCCCCATATTCTATCAGTCAAGTCAATTCTAATCCCTATATTTGTGTCTCACATATTATAGCAGCACCTCTTGACTGTTCTCCCCTATGCAAACTTCTATTTCATTCAATTTTCCACATGCCAGCAGTTATTTTTCTAAAATGACTATTATTTCCTTCTTAAAGTCCTTCAATAGTTGCCCCTTGCCTCTAGAATAAAATCCTCAGCTCCTAGAATTGCATATAAAACTATAATCCAACCTCAAATTATATACTCTAAATTCTAGCTGTACCAAACTAAAGCAAAACATCCCATTAAAACACCGTATTACCTTAGCATCCTTTGTGCCTTTACACGTGTGAAAATGAAAATCTCTTTTTAATCTACTCACTTACCCTGTCACCTGTCTACCTAGCGATAAATTTTATTTATTCTTCACATCTCAGCTCAGTGATTACTTCCTTGTCTCTCAGGGGCAAGAATACCCTGTATTTCATTTATTACTCTGCAGTGTAATTGTGAGCATGTCTCTCTTTCAAGTTGAGCTGTGTCAAGAGAAGGAAACTTTAACTTGTTTATATTCTGTGCTATGCACATAGTAGGTGCTCAATAAACTAGTTAAATGAAAAAAATGTGCCAACCACCTCGTTTAAAATATATATAATAGTGATGTGCTGTATCAAGCTTTTCTAGGTATATTCTATGATACTTGAATATCCCTAGTGTTTGCATTGGTACATTACATTTCATGCTACAATGTGCCTACTTTGGTTACATGAATGTTAATGACTCCAAAGTCATATAATGGTATCACTATGAAAAGAGAAAGTACTAGTCACTTCTTCCCTTCACCCTCTTCTGTCCCCATTCCCAGGAGCTGTGGTTATCATCTAAGTAAATGACACAGTTCAGCTGCTACATAGTATCCTACCTATCCTTCCCAGGTCTGATGTAAGCACTATCCTTGCTTTTCCTTTTGCAAAGATTGTACTGGGCAGAGATAAGGGTAGAATGTTCTCCTTGAGCCTGGGGACAGAGCTGAAGGGGAATCAAAGACGTTCAGTGCTCAGAACTAGCTCTTCCTTAGGCTTCAAAGTACATGGAATAAGAATGCTCATGTTCACACAGGCAGGATTTGGGAGGAAAATCTAGCACTGAACAAAATGTTACAATCAACTGGAATATCTTCAGTTAACCACTTGTAAACCAAACTGTAGCAGAAAGAGTATCCAGCACATTTGGGATGCCCTGAAGGTGAATCTAACATAATAATCGCTACCAGCCCTGGCCAGTGTGGCTCAGTTGGTTGGGCATTGTCCTGTACACCAAAAGGTTGCCGGTTCAATTCCCAATCAGGGCACATGCCCAGGTGGCGGGCTCACTCCCGGTAGGGGGTGTACAGGAGGCAGTCAATCAATGTTTCTCTCTCTCCCTACAAATCAATAATAAATATTTAAAATAATAATAATAGCTACCATTTATTAAGTATCTACTCCGTGCCAGACACCAGGTTAGGTGTTTTATAAATATTACTCTAATTTTTTGGAGCATCCTATGTAGGACTATTTCTCTTTTGCAGATGTAAAAATGGAAGCTTAACAAGTTTGGGTAGCTTTTTCCTGTCATGTAACTACCAGATGTTAAGAGGATTCAAACAAAGGTGGCTATTTCCACTATACCACCAGAAAGAGAAGTCTTCTGGTTATCTACTTTAGAGCTTGACAAATTATTTTCAAATTGGAATGTGGTTTGATCTTGATTATTGAAAAGATTTTAGATTTTCAATAACCACAAATCCAAATAATAATAATATCTGATAATAATACATCCTCCTACCAATTTTTTTTATGCCACACTCACCTTGCCCCCTATCCGGACCTGAGCCTGAAGTTTGGCTAACTTTTCTTGATTCATGCTGTTGGTAAATCTAGGGGGGGGAAAAATAGATTTGTTAAAGTTACTGTTTTACCAAAATAAAATAACTGTTTATGCAACAGTACTTTCTGGTTCACTGAGTTTGCAGCATTCATTACCCCCATGATCATATTAATACTGCCTATATTCTTAATAAATATTAATAACTTTTTCTAGCTTCATAAACCAGATATTAAAAGAACAAAAATTAAATAATACCACGAGGGAGCCGAATATGCATATAGAATGGGATTCAAAGTTACCCATTTGAAGATCCCTCCTTAAATGCACGATTCAAGTAAAACCTAACCAATTACAAAATCTCTGTAGGCAAGCCAGTTTTTCCCTCAAAGATTTTGCAGCAGAGAGCTGTTACCAAATGTTATTAGCACAACCTTTAAGTAGATGTTTTTCTCCCAAATCACATTCTGTATTCCTTGTAAGCCATAAATAAAAAACAAACCAATAAAAAAAGCTGGACAAAGAAAAAAAATTCAACAATAGACTGTCTAGCTGTCAAGATATGAGGTCCTCATGTCCTCTATTCAAGGTCAGATGGTATATTAATAACAAGGAATGAGAACCAGATTTTTAGAGGTTCAGTGCTTCTGCAGCACTTTCCAGAGTTCATTCAATACTTTGCAGTGATATAATATGCAAGCTTCTCCCCTCCCCTTCCTTTAGCTTGCATACAGGGCGTAATGCCTCACTGCACAATTTGACAAAAACCATATCTCTGCTACATTAATACTAAATTTTTTTGGGGGGGAAGAAGGTGAAGAGACTCTTAATAAAGCCCTTTAAGGCTAAACTTAATTTTGAAAATTCTAAGAACATTATAAAGTCATGAATCCTAGTTTGGTCAGTAATATGCATACTAAGGGAAAAAGTTCTTAAGTTTATAATGAACCATAACATTCCACACTATATAAACAAATAAAAGCCAATGTTAAAGCCTTGTTTTACTTGTTCTGTGGATCAACAGATCATTACTGAGATGTGAGAGATGGCATAAAGTACAAGCCTTTTTTTGGCCAATTCTCTAACCTCTTTATAATCATCATTCAGATGAAAAAGACTGTTTTCTTCATTTGAGAAGTGAAAGAGAATCAAAGATTATTCCTAAACATTCCATATTCTGACACTGTACTTAGGCACTAACCTGTATATATTTATATCTCTGCTTTAAGCCAAATAAAGTCCAGTTTCCAAATAACATTTTTTTACATTAATTCAGAATTTATTTAGTCTTCATTTTCCCAGTTGCGCAGCCTAATCAAATAACATTTAGAATTTATGATTCCTTAAATCTTCACTCAGCACTGAATCACAATGTTCAAGCAGCTAAAAACAATCTCTTATAAGAGGAAGTGTGATTAGAATACAAAATCAGAGATCTTTAGCGTGTCATACACTTAAATTTGCTGACGTAAATCCCAATCTCTACGCTCAATATCTACAGAAAAGGACCAATATTCACTTTTCTCAAAGGAATTGGCTATGAAGATGTAGTGAACCAACAAAGAGCTAAGGACTTTTTTGACCAAAAAAAGGGGCTAAGTGAAACTATTAGAACTAGACATAGGGTAAATAAATCTTTTGGGACGCCTCTGCATTTTCAAGTGACAACCCCCAAGAGATGGAAGAGAAGAGACAGAAATCAAGATAGAGAGTCCTGACTTGTCTGAAACAAAAGTAACAAAATTAACTATATCAATGTGCACAATAAAAGAATAGATTCCATTTTAGGTAATCAGGACAACAGAGAACTTGTTCTCAAGGAGTATCTCAGGAAAAAAGAAAAGCATATTAGGGAGGTTGGAAGCTCAAGGGGGTAGGGAAAGAAGGGGGGTCCTTTGTCTATTAGCAGGTTGGGGTGTATGGAATTCAAGTAGGAAAGAGGAGTGGTCTGTCTATGAGAAATGTCAAGCTTAGAAATGTAAACCTTAAAGATCACCTGGCTTACTTCCCTATTCCTCAATCAACCTATAATTTATTGTCTTGTATGTAAGGCCATCTCAAATACTTGCAAGCAGCAGCAGGGTAAAAATTATGAACAGTTCACCTCCCTCTCAATTTAATAGATTTGCAAAAGAGGGCCCAGAAGGGAGAAGACACTTTCTAGGCCCAAAAGGAAGAAGTAACTTCCTAAAGGCATATGTCCTTGAGCTCTTCCTTGGGGACCCTAGAATCTTTCAGCCTTTTCCTTCCGGACTCAAGAAAGTAGGCATTTTCACATACATCATGTTTACACAGAGAGAGAATAATTTCAGCCCTTAGTCCCGACCTTTTTTTTTTTTTTTTAATCGTGTTGGGTTTCTCTAAGAGAAGCATAAGCTTTGCCATCAGAAGAATCAAGGTTCTACCACTCAGGGTTTCGGAAAGGTATTTCACTTCTCTGAACCTGTGACTCTTCTGCACTAGAAAAAGTGTTAACGCCACACACTTCAAAGCGTGCTGTTCATGGTTAAAGGTTATCAATAGCACAGGGTATGACTCACAGTAGATTCGCAAAAACTGGTAACTATTGTTACCAATCCCGAGGGGACAGCTACGGTATATAGTCAGTGAAAGGACGCGGGACAGGAAGTTGAAACCACCATCACTAGCGATGTCACACGGTGTCAGTCGGTCCACCATCCACCTCCTGACAGCCTACTACGCATCCAGAAGTGGGATGGGGCTCTCAAGACCCGCCGGGCAGCGTCCCGGAGCGGGAGGCCGACTGGCAAACAGTTGCTGCCATTAGGAGGTGCAGAGCGCTGCCACGCAATTCGGTCCGGGAGGTAGGGGGCCGGGGCTGCAAACCTCAGTTTCCCTCTCTGCCGGGGAGAATCAAATGCGACGACAACGGACTGGCTGTGCACAGCTCCAAGCTCACACTGTTTGGATAATGGAGAGTAACCGGACAGAGGCGGGGGATCACCCGCCTCCTGGGGCCGGATCTGGATGGCAACAGCGCGGGCCCGCTCGCCCCCACAGAGGGCGGTGGTGCTGGGGACCTTCCCTCAGGTGCCGACCCCCAGCTGCGCCGCCGGTAACCGACAGGCCAGGCTAGCCGCCTCCGCCCCCACTTCGCGCGCCACGGCGGAAGTGGCAGCCCGAGAGGCTGGCGGGTGTCGGAAGAAGAGGGCGGGGGGAGACCGTGCGCAGCGGCCTATGGCCGTGGAGTGGCGGGACCGCCGGGGGTCTCACCTGAAGCAGGGAGAGTCCTCCAACACCAGCACGCGGCAAGAGCAAGATGGCTGCCTCAGCCCAGACAGAGAAAGACGACAGAGGCGGCGGCGGCGGGAGCGGGGCCCACGTGATACAGCCAGCCCTCACCAGAGCAACCTATCCGGGGAGAGCGAGTGCGAACTACAGGGCCCAGCCTGCTCTGCGCCTCCCAATGGAAAGGTGACAGGTGCGGGTGGCCGCGGTGCATTCTGGAGCTTGCAGTCTCCCAAGCTTTCCATTGTGTTGGTGCCTGCGATAGGTAGGGAGCCTAATAAAAGCGCAGTGTGTATTTTTGTTTGGGTGTGTACTTTGTCAGATGTCTTTTACTAGATATTAAGTATGCACTGTCGTACTCAACTAGTCTCCACTTAGGAGGCGAGACAAGACATTTTGTCCTGTTATGACATACAGAGGAAAAAAATTTGGAGAAATAACCCACAAAGTTTAAAGACAACAAAAGCAAAAAAAGAAAAAATAAATAAAATAAAAACAACAAAAGCAAATAGATTTAACCAGAAGAAGCTCTACAGTTTAAATGCCTGCAGTGACTTCTGTCCTGGTTCCCTGAAGAGCTAAGCTAGGTCAGTTTTGCAATAACAGATACCAAGTTCGGGTATTTTTCAGAGCAGGCATTGGTTAGTTGCATAATCCCTGAGTGGAAGAATTGCGGCTGCAAGGAAAATAAGGTCCAGCGCTTCTTCGCCAGCAAAAAGAGGCGTTCTTGCAAGGCACGGAGACCATGTACAGGTTTTCTAGGTCTCCTGGAGACCAAGCAGGAACCCAAGAATGAAATCCAGTAGTCTAGTCTTTTATGATTGCGGCGGGGGAAGTGGGACCCGAGGCCAATGGGCAACCCGCCCACTGTTTGGTGCGGCTGACTTCGCCGAACGATCATTTGCGTTGTTAATATTAAGTGCAGCGGTTCTAGGGGGCGGGGCTAACCTGCTGGCAGACTCAACCAGCAACGGTTTCCGAAGCTTCCTCCGCACCCCATCACTATCTCAGCCCACTTTTTCTATGTCCTCCGACTGAACATCCAAAATCGGGGTTGGGTAGGGGGAAGCAACTTGCGTTTGAGAGCAACACCTATACCCTCTACGTGATCTGCACCTTTAAACTCACTCGATCACAATCCGGACCCCGGAGGCACCACCCACATCCGTTTAACATCACTTCCTTCAGAGTTAAGGGGGGAAAAAAAATCCTGGGAACTCGAGGGGTTGAGTTGAGCCGCGTTTGGGGAAGGGCGCGGACCTTCTGCTGTAGGACTCCGGCTCTGCGTCCGCTCTGCCCGGTGGCCCCGCACACTTACCACCATGGAGCTGCGGCCTCGTCTCGGGGCCACCTGTTTGCTGGGCTTCAGTTTCCTGCTCCTGGTCACCTTTTCTGATGGACGTACTGGGCTTGGAAAGGGTCAGACCGCATTCTTATCTTAATCTTTACTTATCCTGGGTCCCAGCCCAGTATAACCCTCTTCTCCTCTTAACACGACCCCCCTCCCATTCTATCTCTTTAGTCACGCCGGATTCTTTTTTATCCTAGCCAACCGCTCTTGGAGTTTGAAGATTTCTTGGGGTAGGGAGGAGCGGGTCTAGGGCATGATGTGATGGGACGTTGTTCTTGGGATGGGGTAAGGAATGGCCCTTAAATTAGAAGAAGCATGTTTAAGAGCCCAGCACAGTGCTTAGCATTTGGTAGGTCCTCAGGAACAGCCACCTTTACTGCTAGGAGAAATAGGGCCTTTTTTGGACATGCATGTGCAGAGAGCCTTGCCCTTGGTCTGAAGATTCCCCAACTTACCTCTTCCTTCAGAGGAAGGTTACTGCCTCCTTGCCCTCGGGGGAACCATACCTGCATTCCAGGAAGTGGTGACTGGTGCAAAAGGAAGGGCTAAAAGAGGGTAGAAGGTCTGAAGGTAGAGGGGCCACCAACAGTTGTCCCTCCTGTGGTTCCGTTAGTGTGTCTGAAGAAACTGAATTGTTTGTGAGTGCTGAGGAGTTATTCAGTGGTTATGAATAGAGAATAGAAGATGTGACCTCCCTACTCCATCCCATTTCTTACATCTTCATTCGAACTCAGGGTTTATGCTTTTCTAAGCGGGTGAGTGGTAGCGTTGATTCCCCTCCCCTTCCTTTTTTTTTTTTTTTTTGTACTGATCTTACTGTATGGAAAGACTCTCCTGCAGTTCTGCTGTTTGAAATTCGATTTCTCTTATCCTCCCTATTTGTTCATTTATCGGTGTGTGATGAGATTTTGTGGACATTCAGTGTGCCTGAATACAGTCCCTCCTTAATTCAGTAAATAATTTTTGATCACCTACCATATTCCAGGCACTGTCTTGGACACTCCTGTCAATAAGACAGTTTCAGCTTGGGATAAGTACTGGAAATAAAATGAAATTGGGATGGAGAGGCTGAAAAGGATGAGGGAACTAATATTACCTGAACTAGGAAGGTCAGGGAATGCTTCTCTGAGCTGATATGTGGGTTTCCATCTCAGTGATGAAACTACATGGTGAATTCTACTGGGCAAGAATGTTTTAAATACTGACAACCCCATTTTGAAACAGATTACTGTATATTTGGTGTAAAATTGTAAGTACCAAGGGAGACAGAAGGGTAGTGTTAGGAGTGTGGGTTTTGACCTGAGTTTTAATTTATTCTGCCACTAACAAGCTGAGAGGCCTAGGGCAAGTTGCTTAACTTCTCAAAGCTTAGTTTCGCATCTGCAAAAGTGGGCATAATAATAACTACCTGAGACATCAACAGATAATTTACTCTGTTCTAGTTACTGTGTTAGTTGTAGGCAGTCCCTTGGAGTCATGTATTCAGTATTTTTATTCCTTGTTAGACATGAAGCTCTTGTGGTTATTCTAGTTATCGTTGCTGTATAACAAACCACTCAAAAATGTAGGGGGGTGTAAAGAAATCATTTTATTATGTTCACAATTCTGTGGGTCAGGAATTCAAAGAAGGCACAGTGGGGAAGGTGTGTTTCTCTGTTCTGTGATGTCAGCTTCTTCATGGGCTAGTGTGGGCCT